TTAAACACATATACCTTGTAGTTTTCTAGCATTCAAATGAAAACTCAAAATCTATTCCATACAGTAAATGGGATCCTTACTTTCTCTATGATTTTCCAGATCTGCTATACGAAGTAGCATCATGACATGAGTGCTTCCATCTCTGTGTTTTGAAGAATGTTTTGTGCATTAAAACTACTTTTGGAATTTGAAAATAAAAGGAAAAAAAAAATCCAATTTGAATTAGGTCAGTAGAGAATTTAAACGTTTGCCAAATGACTGCAGCCTGTCTTTTTCGATGTAACATTTTACACAACAACCAACCTTTTTTATTCAAACAGCGTTATAGAAATAAGGTTCTACCAGGGAGCGACGGCGCAACACTGAAAGCAAAGCTTGTGCAAAAAACTATTAGGCTCTATCAGATTTTTAAAATTCATCACACAGGTAATTTTCCAAGCACTGGGTTGCACAAGTGCTTGTATTGTTGTCCCGTACCTGAAGGATCGGGTAGTATACGTGTATTTCAGTGTTTAACTCTCCGCAGACTGGTGCGCTGCAATGAATGAGCACCCTTTCTTACATCCGCCCCCACCTGGAGCAAGGAGGGCAGGAGGAGGGAAGGAGACAACACTTGGACCAGTTAAGTGCTGCAACAGGGCAGGAAACTAACCATGGCTCACAAGTTTAGGGTCTCATAGGGCTTTATGTTTAGCAGTCAGCCAACCAAATCAATCACTGTGTTAACAAAATTCAACAATTTGCTTACTATATGTTGAGTTTTTCATTGTTACTAACTGATCTGAGTCATAGTTTTCTTGTTTTATCTGTCTAGCAGAAAAAAAATCCTTCCTGTATATTAAAAAATCCCTTTAAATAAGACAATACTACAATTTTAATAAAAAAATGTGCAGTTTCTTAGCACAACACATTCATAAATGACACAGGTTACACAATAATAAAAACATTTGTGACATTTGACTATAAGTAAACCTTAAGTGCGGACGTTATTAAGTGAACCAAAAGCGACATACGAACTGCACCAAGGAGAGCATAAACATTCCCTCCCATCATACAGTAAGCTGCAGTCAGTCCTGTGCTGATGAAATGCAGCTATGCTGCTGCTCGGTCCCATGTCTGACATCTTTCAATTTATCTGGAATTTTTGAAATAAAAAGGACTTCCCTTTGCAAACATTTTTTTTTATTTTTGCAAATGTGTGCCTGGCATTCTGAGGTGTTTAAACCTATTGCCTCGGATTATTGCCTTGCATGGATTTCGGGGGACCTGGTGCAGTTTATACATTGTGACTAAGAACCTTGTCATGTAATTTGAAGGACAGCACATTGTTTGAGTAGCAAAGGATGCCAAAATAACAGCACCAGTGAAAAGCAGAGAAATTATAAAAAATGCAACTTTAGCTACTCTATATAGGTGCATGTTGGTAAAAATTTAATACTATTAATACTTGAAATAAGCCATTGTATAATAAATGAAAAAAGGCATTTTCCTCTTTGTGCTACACTTGCCCGTATAAGATTATTATAGTATAAAAATCCTGAGGAAAATTACTATTTTCTGTGGTTCCATTTAACAAATCTTTTAGACAGTTAAATTTTTTTTCTCATTCATACTATATACCTCTATTAGGTAGATCCTGAAATGTTAAGACAGTATTTTGAGGAAAGAGTAAACAGTTAGATTGCTGCCATTTTTTTAGTGCACATTGGAATAGTCTTAGGTAAATTAAGAAGTTCCCTGTATGTTCTTCAAATTAATAGAACAAAATATGTTGGTAAAGAACACAGTTCAGAGCAGAGACATACAAACCTAAACCAGACACAAAGGATGCTTCTTGCTTATTACCTTGTTATTAAGTTCTGATCCAGCAACATTTAAATTCAAGGTAATTAGACGCAATATCTTTGAAAAACTCTGCTGTCCATTGTTTTAAAGCAGTTTTTATTTTACTACTGCTATTTTTTTATAGATGGGTTTACAATATTTGATGAAAACAATGACATGGATATAGCTTAAAACAAGGCCATCCCTTTTCATGTGTGACTCATGGAGAATATTAAAAGAGCAATCATCTTACTTTTCTTGAAAGCGCGATTCCGCGCTCCTCAACAATCTTTGCCTCCGCTGAAAAGTCTTCCTTCTTCACGCCTTCTTCTTTCTGGAAAAAGACAGACCGACTTGAATGAAGTCACTGATATAAAGCAGCATTGAATGATTAAGCTGTGTGTGGATTATGTGATATTATGGTAAAACAATTTTTTCTTTTAAGAAAAAATCCTTTTGATCTGGGTCAATTTATCAAAAATGACCAATCATCAGTTTTGATGATCGCTGAGTTGTTAATTTAAATAGAAAAAAAAAGGTTGGATATTAATTTAAAAGAAGTTAAAAAGATGAAAATGTTTTTCCTCTTCAGGTACAGGAAGCGGCGGGTGGTCGGCATTGCAACCTGACCTGGCCTCGCCTCTGCTCCTGCTCCCAAGGTTGTTGGCCCGCCTCGTGATGAGAAAAGCCCGGCCCTGTGTCAAAAGGCTTTGCGCCCTTTAGGAGGTGCCCACGCAGCATATAAGAGTAACTCGTATCACACACCGGAGTCAGTAGGGCCTCCTGCGCTGTATGCAAGCCTGGCACGCTTCCGTCGTATCCTGATGATACCGAGCCCACCCAGCCCTGCAGGGAGTCCTTGTCTGGCAAGTATGGCTGAAACGCACCTCCTCCCACCATCCTGCAAAGCAGATAGATACAGAGCTGGTTATTAGAGAAACTAGGTGTACATGACTTGACATTGCATGACCTTGATGACGACGTACCGGTTGTCCCCGTTGTGTTCTGGTGGCTGATCTAGCCCAGTAACCTCACCATGCTGGGCATACACCTGCTGGCCTGTAACAAGAGAAATCCCTTCCACTGAACCCAGCCCCACACCTCCAGCTACTCCTTTACTTCCTCCTCCCACTTCCACAGCAACACATCTCCTTGCATCTGACCTCTGACCTCCCAGTTGCCCATTCAGATTGACTTTGGGAACAGCGCCACTGGCCCTCACCCTGTCCCATTCTGCCAGTGCACTTGCTGGCTCTTGTGGTACCTCCTCCTCCTCAACCTCCCCTTCCTCCTCCTCCTCCTCCTCCTCTTCTTCCAGCTCCATTATGGAACCACTGGCCCCACTGGCTCCACTGCTTGGGTGACCCAAGCTGCAGGGCAATGAAAGGGTGGCACCCTCAGAGTCATCGGCTCGACTGCTACCATCTAGCGACGAATCCTCAACGGTGACCAGAGAGGGGCTAACCCCTGCTGGCCACACTTGAACATCCGACATCTCCATTAAAGTGTCTTCTTCCGTGGTGGCAATAGGTGCACACTCCAGGCTGGAAACTTCCTGCCAGTATGGTTCCACACCCAATGGAGAGGGCAAGCTGTACTGCATGGAGGCCGGGGACACAAGTTCCTCCTGCACCAGCCCATAACCTGGAAGTAAGACAGGGGCGAGACAAAAGAAAGACTAACACCAAGCAAGCACAGCCATGGGGTGGGGGTAGGGGGGTGGAGGGTTCATCGACTGTTTCTCCAACCTATATAAGAAACAGTGGAGCTTAGCCATGTCCCAATACACAAACAGAGACTCTTAATTCTATAATTTAAATTAATCAGTTAGGAAAATATTTTTTTTTTCCCAGTACTGCATTTCATTAAAATCTAACTGAAATGTACAGCTTGTACTCTGTAAAAAATAAAAACCCTAAACACAATTTGATAAAAAAAAAAAAAAAAAAAAAAAAAAAAAAAAAACGCCTTTTCTCTTTCTTATCTAGAGTTGGCTAAGAAGCAATTTTGGGCATTTGATTTTTCTATACAGTAAGTGGGGTTCTGTTAGCAATATTAAAGGAGAAGTTCGGTTTTTTACACTTTAAGCCCATTTTCTGTAGTGTCCAGGATGAAATCGAATGATCGACACCAAAAGTTTGACAATTGCTCCTGTCTCTGCTTTTTGGCTCATTTAGAATCAACCCCTGGCTGCTTTAGAATGGCTAGCATAGAGCATGTCCGATAATGTCCTTAAAACAACCTTAAACGTTCTTTTTTTTAAATATGCTGCTCACCGTGTCGTCAGCGCTGTTCAATGACGTTCCAAAAAAAGTTTCGTGAAGAAAAAACGTTCCTGTAGTGTTTTATTTAGCATTTTGTAAATCCCATTGAGTTCTGTAGGAATAGTCAATATTCCGCTGCCACCGGAAACGGAAATGGAGCCTGTTTACACAGTTGTAGTCTTTTCGCTTCACTCTGTGTACTCCGACGTCGAGAATCAAGAATCCACCTTTCGTATTCCATTTTCAGAGTTTTTTAAAGTGTTTAACAGAGACGTTAGCACCTCGACGTCGGAGTACACAGAGTGAAGCGAAAAGACTACAACTGTGTAAACAGGCCCCGTTTCCGTTTCCGGTGGCAGCGGAATATTGACTATTCCTACAGAACTCAATGGGATTTACAAAATGCTAAATAAAACACTACAGGAACGTTTTTTCTTTACGAAACTTTTTTTGGAACGTCATTGAACAGCGCTGACGACACGGTGAGTAGCATATTTTAAAAAAAGAACGTTTAAGGTTGTTTTAAGGACATTATCGGACATGCTCTATGCAAGCCATTCTAAAGCAGCCAGGGGGTGATTCTAAATGAGCCAAAAAGCAGAGACAGGAGCAATTGTCAAAATTTTGGTGTCGATCATTCGATTTCATCCTGGACACTACAGAAAATGGGCTTAAAGTGTAAAAAACTGAACTTCTCCTTTAAGAGGCCCAGTTCTGACCAGTACAAAGTGGGGAAGAACAATGGAATCTGCGGGAGACTGAAATTGAACTTATGTACTAATAAGTCCAGTGGATTATATATAAATACATTTAAATGTAGAAACTGTTACTGTACTTAGGTTCAGTTAACAGAATTAAACATTACATTAAAATGTTGATACCATGTTTGTTTGACAAAATAAATTAGATGCACTTCATTGGTTTTATCTCTTAAATTTTAGTTAATAAAGTAAATAAATGGTAGTAAGGCAATACATTTTCTCAAATGATTTGTGTTAAATTTACTTTTCAAATTTTATAGTGACCCAGAGTTGTAAAAACTTTCCCATACAACATAATAGACGTCTCCAAGACAGGGCATTATGCAGATCAGCCAGAAGAACAAATTGAGTGTAATTATAATTTTTATATGGCTTTTCTAGTTAAAGTGAACTTGAATAAAAAGTCGGCATCAATGGAAAAGTATAAATATTTTGAAAATGTGATGAAAACTGTTTATTGTTCAGGACAGGACTTGTCATTGGCAGCATAACTCAGTATTTGGTTTTCGATCTGATAAAATCCAGCGTCTATATGCTTTATATGCGTAACCATATGGATGGGCCCTGTTTTGTGTGATAAATGAGACTCCAGATAATCATAGTATTAACTACTACAGAAAAGGAAACCCCTTTTAACAGAAACCCACCTAAAAGAAGTTCATAAGCAAGTTCTAAAGTTAGCTCCTTGTTTGTAATAAATGAACGATAAGAACATTAATAACCTTGTCAAATGTTTACTTGTTCAAAAATGAAAGGACAAATCAAGCAGAACTTGTTTCAACCTTCCTGTAGTTTTTTTTTATTAGATTCTATTGTTAATATAAATCAATTAATGTAGTGCCAGAAATGTCATCTATATAAAGAAGAAAAAAAAAAACCTCCTGCGTTATTTTTTCCACTTGAATAGAGATTAAGATTATATTTATTCCTTATTTCATTCTTAATGATACTTTGCTGTATTGATAAAGGAAAATTATCCTTTGTGCAAAGAATTTAGTCCAGGTCTTTGTCATTGGGACACAGCATTATGTGCAAGGTGTGAGGGGATACAGTAAGAGCTTCGTGGATCATCCGTTGCCTGTGAGGTGAATGATGCAGGGCTCTTGTTTGCTACCAAGTAAAGCAAGTGAGTGTCCAGAACTTAAACTGTACCAGAGAAGAGAAAAGGAAAAGTGTTGTCACATGTTGATTTTGGGGTTGGCACGATATTTATTAATATTGAAGACAAATGTATCTATTTCTGCAGACTGTTCATTTGATTTCACCCAATTAGGATATTTTTTTCATAATTATATAAAAAAATGTTGAGTAAAATTGCACTGAAAAAACTCACCATTTCAGGAATATCATTGCTATATTGTAAAGCATTAAGCAACCCTGCTGTATAATCGTTGTTATCGTTCCAACCCATGTTATAAGTTCTTGAGTAGGACTCAGCTGTAGACATTGCTAAGGAAAATGCAAGCTGCTGTTGGTCTTGCATTTCCCAATATTACAGCTGCAATTTCAAAACATGCATTCAAGTAAGAATCCCTTTACACTCATTCACACAAATCTACATACTCCCATCAAACAAAGAAAACTGATTTGAAACTGATCTGAATTATAAAAACCTGTGGAAAGGCTATGAGTGGTTAGTGTTTTACCCACAGCTGATAACTCCTTCAGGCAGTGTTGACTCAAAGCTCTCTGCTGCCACAAGTAAGACAGATTAGAGCAAAAAGGTCCAACAATTGAGCAAGAATGTGAACGTTAATGTGTACTTGGCCAGAGTAATGATTAGGTGCAAGGCTCAAGAGTAAAAAAATAAATAAATAAATAAAGGCCTAAACAGAATGTTTTCAATCTTGTAGCAGATTGCTCTGGTAAAAGCTATTATGAGCTATTATTGAAAACAACTATAGATTCACATGCAAATATTTATGGCTGCAGCCTACAGTAGTTTAAAGGTTTGTGTGGATGAAATGACATGTACGGGGAGACTAAGGACGGTTGCAACAATGTTTTTCTCTTATAGTAATTATTCAGAGGTGACTGGGCCTACAACTACCATTTATTTTTAAATAAACTCAAGTCAACTGTTGTAACTATCTCCCTTCCCCTGATGGTTGCAACACAACTCAGGAACTGGCATGTTGGTTTGTAGTTTTTTGGCCCAAGCGCAGTTTTATATACAAAACAACAAGAATCTAGAAGCGGAGAACTACAGGAAGTCTGTTGAAAACCTTCCAGACTCAGGAGATAAATTGCCAACCCCTTTCTGACGGGGTTTCACAAGGGACTCCATGAGGACGAAAAACAGCTGTCTCAAGGGAGGATGGAAGCCAACCAAGAGGGATGAGGTGTCAATGTTCGAAGAAGCGGCTGATTATAGGATGGTGGTGAAACCCTTAGATGGTGGTAGTCCAGTAAAAAAATCCAGGGCAATATGAGACCACAGATGTTTAGAGATAGGCAATCTTTGAATAAGACCACTGGGAGGTTGGTGACAGGCTTTGTTGTTGGCACACACTGGACAGGCAAGAACATAACTTTTAACATCCTTATATATTTTAGGCCACTACAAATTTTGTTTAAGGAGTGCGAAAGTTCGGTTGAAGGTCCAGTGTCAGGTCCGGTTAAGACGGCTGAGCCTCCATGATTTGATCATTTATTTCCCACAATAAGGCCCCTACAATGCAGGAAGACTGAATGATAGTTAAGATATTGTGTTCCTGGTCACTGGAGTATTGCCTAGACAGGGCATCGGGTTGTATGTATTTAAAGCCTGTATGGTAAGAGATGATGAAGTTAAAATGGGAGAAGAAATTAGACCAATTTGATTGTTTAGGTTTCAGAGGTTTTGCTTTTTGGAGATAGGCCAGATTGTTGTCAGCAGTCCCCACAATAACAGGATGTTAACCTCTCTCCAACCGGAGGAACCACTCTTCAAAAGCCATTTTTATGCCTGAGCTCTCCATCGCCCACATCGTAGGAAAGCGATTTGTGGCCTGCAACTTTCTTCCACATGACCTGTTTGCCAGTACAGTAGATCAGTAATGGTGTGGGGTGGTATTTCTTTGGAGGGCTGCACAGCCCTCCAGATGCTCACCAGAGGTAACATGACTGCTTTGGTACTGAGATGAGATCCTCAGACCTCTTGTGAGACCATACCCTGGTGTGGTTGGCCCCTGGGTTCCTCCTAATGCAGGTTATGTGGCTGGAGTGTATCAGATGGAGGCACGCTATGGACTGGCCCACCCATTCCCTAGAGTCCAATTGAGCACATCTGGGTCATCATGTCTCGATCCATCCAACAACGTCACAGTGCACCATAGACGGTTCAAGAATTGGTGGATGCCTTAGTCCATGTCTGGGAGGAGATCCCTTAGGAGACCATCTTCCACCTCATCAGTAGCAGGCCCAGGCATTGTAGGGAGCTCATACAGGCATGTGGAGGTCACACACAATACTTAGCCTCATTTTGACCTGTTTTAAGGACATTACTGTACATGCAAGGTCTTAATCTTTCCACTGACTCCAAATCCAGGCCTACATTGGTTAGTAAGTTTGAGTACCTTTGGTGATTTTTGTGTGATTTTGTTGTCAGCACATTCAGCATTGAACATAACAGAATATT